AAACAAAAGTGATTTAAGAAGTCTGGAAACAGACTACCTTTTCAAGTTGGTAAATAAGAAAAAATACTGTTGCTTTATGCGATGAATTTGAAATCTACATGTTATTGGACATTCGTTCCGAAATGATGTGGCGTTCGACATGTTTCGCTCGTCGGGAACTCGTCCACCCCAAGGGAAGCTTCTCCCCAACAGAAGAGGAGTTTAACCCACGGCAAACATTTTTCCCTGGTTGGAAAATTCCCCACGGAGAGGGAACGACGGTTCGAAGCTGACGTAGCGGCAGCAATCTGTATTGCTGCCACGTGCGCAGCAACGAATGGAAAACAGTTTGGTCGGTGGAAGTACGTCTTCCGCGCCAGGGACTGTTCAGTTTTTAATATGGGCTTTCCGTCAACCCTCCTATGACCTTTTCAACCCACGAAACTTTGCAGAAAAACTTCCTCAAAAAAAAAAAAAAAAACAGTTCCTCTATCGTTCCACTTTTGTTGACCAACGAAGGGTAAACCACGTGACGTGACACAACCACCGACGAATTGCTAAGTGGAATTTAGGATGGACCCTCCAACCGTGTCGAACTGATCCTTCGCGTGATATCCGACTAAACTTGCAAATTTACTGACGGATTCGCGCCCATCTTGAACCGTGGATCCGTGATTTTATAAACGAAATATTCAACGATCGGGGAACCTGGTGGAAGAAATCCTTGTCGCAACGTTTGTTCAAAAAATTTGACACTTTCTTACCAGGGAGCAGGGTGTATAATAACATAAAATTGGCCAAGGTTTTGTGTACGTACGAATTCGGTAAACAACGAGCAGAGTTTCTTTCCTTTGTCGAGCGTTGTATTGGAAATTCTACAAATATTTCGTGCAAATTAAATTCGTCTATGGGGATTATTTTATTTTCTTTTTATAATGGAATGTATCTTTTAATATTATTCTAAAAACTAATTTACTTTGGAAGTCAATATTTACTGTTCATTAGTTGTGATAACGTTTTATTCGCAAAGAGAGCTCAATTATTTTTGAAACTATTCATGCGTGTAGTATATAGAAAAATATCTGACACGCATTTCTCTTTTGTTCTGAGTCGTTTTTATATTTACGGGGTAAAACTATCTTCGCGAGGTCAAACATGAGGTGCCAAGACGAGTGTACTGGTTAATAACTATGCACGTAGCAGATTTTTATTGTTTATCGTTAAATTTGAACGCGATGAATACGAAATGAACGCTTTTAAGGGCTGTAGCTGTGCTTTGTCCATAGTTGCAGTACGGGTCGAGCGATCCTGAGGTATCCGGGCTTTATAGGGGGACCAATCGGCCCCAACTACCTACTGACATTGCCCTCAGGGGCTGTAGCGGTATTTGTAGCTACAGTACGGGCTTCGCAACCCCGAGGTACCCGAGCTAAAGTAGAGCCAGAGGGCCCCAATAGATGAGAAGATACTGCAAACAGTACTAAAACAATGCAGGAGTCGTGTAAGACGATGATAAGAAGAATGGAAATAAGCTAGTAATAAGTAAACAGTAGTGCAATAACTTTGTATAATAAGTTACGAACTTTAAATGAAGAAATGAATGAATGCTATTGGCATCCCTAATTAGAATAAAGACAACCCAGAGAAATATGTAAGCAAGTCCAAAGTAATGTTGAGCAAGAATTTAATGAATATAAAGAATGAGAAGAAGACTCACTTAACCCACATGACAGTGTGAGGGGTGAGTATGTAAGCAAATGCAAAGTAATGTAAACGAATAATTT